GAAGGTTACTACCCATTTCCTCCCGATCAGCTGGGACTTGGGAGGTAGAGAATAGATGGGGGCAGGGCCAGTCAGAATTTTTACTACCAGTTCTCTGAACTATTCAAAATTTCTGCTACCGGTTCTCCAGAACTGGTCAGAACCTGCTGAAACCCACCTCTGATTGCCTCTATCTACACATCTCCATCAACCCTAAGAGGTAATTCCCACACATCAGAGAAATAATAGAGTCTTATGCATGTTACAGACTCCTTTGTCCTCGACATGAATAATCATCAAGGTTGGGAAGATTTTTTTTTTTTGTGGGCAAGTCTTAGTCATTTTCAGTTTAGTCATTTGGACTTTTTGGCTTAGTATTCACCAACCCATAAGAAAACTTTTTCCATGAATAAGTATACTCATTGTTCTCAAATGCAATATATTTTACATTAAGATGACATACGGTTTAATGCTATACTGGTTTAATGAGCAAAATCCACTAACATCTCTTGACTGAAGAACGCAACCTCATTGTTTTAACAATGGCATATTTTACCAGCAGGAAAGTTGTACAAAGAGAACATTTATGCTCTAGATGCTTCTTGTGCCCACATAAGCTGCCTACTCTCCAAATATCCCAATAAAGGAATTTCACTTGTGACTGGAACAAGCATTGTTTCTTTAAAACCCGGTGCCCACATTGGCTTTACAGAGTAGACATCTGGGAGTTCCTGATCTCCACATGTGATGTGGAGAAAAGAGCAGGGATCAGAAGGAATTGCTTGACAGAGGACAGGTATGATTTATTTTAAAAAAGAAAGATATTGTGGCATACTGTAGCAATGATGCTGTAAGACTAGATATTGATTACAGCCAGGTGTTTGCTGTGCAGCATGAATTTTAAACTGCAGTAACTACTCGGAAAGCCATGGCAAGTTAGAAGTGTTGAATATATAATTTCTGCTGGTCCTCTTACCTGCAAAATATTCAAACCAGTTGGAATACTTTTTAATTATAGACTACGAAATGCAGGATGACTAATTTAGTTTTTGGCTTTACCAAAATAGAAACCATCTGAATGAGCCCGTGAAGTATAAATTATTGCAGCGTGTGAGCCTGATCTATTCATAGGTCTGTGAAACCCTGGGCCAGTTGTGCAACTCTAAATATCACAGATTAGTTAGCAAGTATGATGTACGCAGACTTTAAAGCCCAACTGCAGGATTGAGAGTTTCATTTTGAAGGCAGACTCTGCCCATATGATAACATTTGTCTCCACTGAAACAATAACCCCAAACTACTCTTTAGAGATAAATTGTTCCTACCATGAAAGTCTTCCACTTGTGTTTCCCACCAGCTTCTCCTATATAAGTGTTGTCCCGTAGAACTTCTATAACTTCTTAGAGACAACTGTTTATTATTTTTTTTAAACGGATCACAGAAAGACTGGTTGAACAAGAATAACAATTTTGTAGATATTAGATATCCTGAGAGAATTGAGTGAGTCACAATATCTGCCTTGGCATATTTTGAGTGGGTCCAGGTCTTCTTGACCTTTGGAAGGGAGGCTACCTGGAATTGCCACAATGATAAACTAATTTTTAGAAACATCTTAGAAGAAGATAATAAAAACATTTCCATAACTAAAAAAACTGTAGGGTTGAGTTATGCCTGTGTAAAAGTCTGCAGAGTCCATATAGTCCATGTAATTGTCAGAGTAGAGTCCATTATGTCCATGTAGTTGCCAGATTCAATTGATTGATTTTGTGCCATCAAATCATTGTCAGTTCTTGGCAACTACATAGATTTTCTTCACTACAATCTACCCACCCACCCACCCAACCTGGTCTTTAAGAGTCTTTCTCTTGCCTTAAATGCCTTTTAGTGCAATAAGCAGGAATTTCAATTCTAAAATTGGTTAATGTGCTATAGGGGTAGGGTGTGGGTATGTTTACTATTTGTGAAATTATTGATGGGAACTTCGACCTGGGTAAGGTATTCACACATGCTGCTCAAATGACCATAACTGACAAATCATTCTTACAAGCAAGCCTTCGGGGCCCTTCCTCTTCCAGTGAGTAAAATGCTCGTGCATACATCTTCTTCAAGAATGCACAGTCCACATGCTTCTGTGACTGTCCCATGGTATCCTTTGAAGAATGGCTCCGCTGTATTGAAAGCTCTGAGCAGCACTTCTGAAGGAAAAGCAGTGGCCTCTGCTCCTACGGAGTGCTTTTCTAGTGACTCACTTCTGCTTTGTATAGTGCTGTGCTGTCCTATGGCCTCAATTGACATCAGGACTTCTCTGTAGCTCGGTGGGCACAGCAGGCAACAAGGGACGGTGCTTTAGTGAATGTGTTCTTTTTGACGATCTCTTTTGTAACATGGACTTCCTTTAGATTACAACTCATGGAATTCCATTCTGACTGGGAATTTGAAGAGTTGTGCTCCGGATCCATTGAGAAAACTCAGCTTAGGCTAGGTAGGTGGCTCTCAGGTAAACACTGGGATCTGGTTGGATTCCACTGGAATTCCCAGGGCGGAGGCAAAAATATTTTTAGGGCTATGATAATGTGTAACCATGGCCATTGTGCCTTAGTAACCATAATGTCTCTAGGGCTAAGATCAAATACCCTAGCCCTAGAGATATTATGGTTACTGAGGCACATTGGCCAGGGGTTACACATAACCCTGAGCTCTGGCTTGCATGACATGTTAAAAAAACAAACCAACAAATTTATTACAACTGATATTTATTGGCTCATATTATAAAATGTGGATTCTCAAACTTTGTGTCCTTAAGTCACTCTTGGGTGGGAGATGCTGGCAGAACTGAGTTACAAAGTTATCCCTGTGATGGGAACATTTATTTCAATATGTAAAGAAATTGCCTCATGATCCTTCACAGGAATAACTTTTAAGCAGCTTTCACACAGTTTCAGGAATTTAATCTGTATTTTTCCCCCCTCTTATCATCCTTCTGGAAGCAAGTTGGTTGTTATCTAGTGTAAGAGAAAAAGTTTTAAAAACATTTTTGGGAACTGCAAGGGAGCAACAGAACAGGAGAATATTTGTATGGTAATTCAGTTTAAAATCTCAGTATACTCAGTATCTCAGTATTTAGTATCATGTGTTGTTCTATGAAGTCTATCATACCTGATTTATAATCAGCATATCTTGTTCTGAAAATTACCTTGAACAAGTTGAGTAAAAATGTAATTATCAATACCTGGGAACTGATTTTTCTTTTGCTAAATTTTATTATGATCTTGAAATGGTTCTGATTATGTAACCTGAACCCTAAAATTCCATCTTTTAGTAGATAAATATACACATTTAACCAAATCCTTCTTTTAAAAAAAAAAAAATATTGGTTGCAATTGTATGATACATTGACACATGTATTTTTTTAATTAAAAAATGAATTGCGACTTTTACATTGCAAATTGCAAAAGCCTAAATTTTGTTGAATGATATCCTTTTGGTGTTTATATCCACTAAAATTCTCTCTAGTTCCTTTCTGAAAATAATATCCAGTTTTATTTCTGTGCCACCCTTTTGCTGAAAATAGATTAGCCAGTTGGTCAGTAGTGTCCAGAGTCATTTCAATGGTGAAATGGGTGGCATATTTTTATAAAATAAGTAAAATAAGTAAATACAGCTTGGAATAAAGCTATTGGGAAGATCTGGTGCTTTCGTTCTCTTTATAGTGTTCAGAAGGGACAAATCAGTCTGTGTAATTGCAGAAAAGTAAATTTGTTCTGCAACTGGATCTGAAAACGAGTCAGAAGATTTTCACTGTGGAAAATCCTGAGATGATACTGTTTCCTCTAGGAACCTGATGGGGAACAGGAATCTTCTGGAGTCTTGTGACTTCCCATTATTATGCTCAGAAAATACAGTTCAGGTGTATTTAGCTTAAAAATAGCAGAGAAACATTATCTGGAACTCCTTTTTTTTTTAAACAAAGAAAGCGAACTGCTGGATAAATTCCTGGAGTTTTTGACTGTTTAGAAGTAGAGCACATATGCACATCGCAGTCTAGACTGGCCTTGCCAAGTGACTCATTCCATTTTGTTTAATGTGCTGCCAAAGAGAAAAGTAACAGCAGATTTAATGGACAGGGTGTACTCAAAGATTCTTTCTCTGGTCTTATCAATTATAGCTTTTTTAAAAAAATATATGCTTTAGAGCACCCTGAGAACATACTCATTCTTTGTTTTCATTCCATCTTACCTTCGGCCTTTGAGGGAGATGGGAGGTTTAAAAATGTGAAATATAAATAGATAGATAGATAGAGATGATAGATAGATAGAGATAAAATAGATAAATAGATAGATAATAGATAGATAGATAGATAGATAGATAGATAGATAGATAGATAGATAGATATGGACTCAGACAGACAGACAGACAGACAGACAGACAGACAGACAGACAGACAAATTCAGGACCTTATGGTGGCCTACATAGAGTTCTTGCCTCTCATTTTCCTCCCAAGAAGCCTGTACAGTAGATTAGATTCAGGGGTGGGTTCTACTTACCTTTACTACCAGTTCGCAGCAGGAGCGCGCACGCGTGCTTCTGCACATGTGCAGAAGCTTCTGCGGATGCGCAGATTACCCATTATGATGTCATGGCAGGTGGGCGGAGCCTCCCGCCAGTTTTACTACCGGTTCTATAGAACTGCACAGAACCAGGAGCAACCCACCACTGATTGGATTGTGAGAGAGCAGCTGTTCTGAAGTCACCCAATGAGATTCTGTGCCTATAGGTGGAGAAGAACTGGGGTTTTCCTACTCTAACACAATAACCTCTTATGACTATGCCAAAGTCAATATAAATTGGCAAACATTTACAGCAGAGTGATCAAACATTAGAGCCTGTCTTTCCTTAATTCTTTGAATAAACTCTTCTACACATAGCAGTATCTGTTGGGTGATGTAATATAGGCAAGCCACGCAGCAAAATTTTATGTTTCGTTCCATTTGCTTGTTATACAGTATCTGCATCTGTTGTAGGTTCCTTTGGAATCTGGATTTCTTAAGTTCACTTTTGTGCCCTCCCTCGGAAGACTGCCAACTCAATGCTACCTTGCTGGCTGCACAACATTCTGTGTGAGTATTGGAGAAGGATCTGAATATAAGAGTGTTTTAAAAAAAATCTATTTTGCTAATTTATATGTTAATCTTTGTCTCAGTTATGTTGGAGTGGGGAGTGGAGAGAATGGTCTCAAAATATGTCTAGCCTGGAAATAAAAGGTTGGGTACAATAGGCAGAAAAGCGGTTATAGCCTAAAATAAATGGTATGTTTTTTCCACTGCCTGAAGTAAATCTAAGCATGTACAAATCCAGCTCAATATCTGAGATTAAAATGTGCACAGAAGAGAATACCTGTAAGGTTGATTCTAAGAATCTTAAATATGCAAAGTGGCAACGAGAATCTAAAAGATGAACCAAGCTATTTAACTTTAAAGACAGAGTTACCAGTTATTTTCCTCCTTTCTTTGAACATTAAGAGGGGAATCTTGGAGATTCTCAATCACCCTGGTCATGGTTGCCCCATAGGTATTTTTCCAAAAGGCTATTGGACTTCCTTGGGTTTTTCCTTGAAAATGTTTCACTTCTCATCCAAAAAGCTTCTTCGGTTCTGATATTCTTTAGATCTGAACAGCCTTGTGGATAAGAAGAGAAATATTTTCAAGGGAAAAAACCAAGAAAGTCCAATTGCCTCTTGGAAAAACATCTTTGGGACAGATTAAGAAGGGAACCAGTTTAGGTTGGGACTAGTATATAGGAAGGGATATTAGACCTCATTGATCAATCACATTAGCTTCTGCTTTGGTCCCTTTCTTCAACTTCTGTTTCCAATGATCCAATAGACCAGTGGTGGGATTCAAATTTTTTTACTACTGGTTCTGTGGGTGTGGCTTGGTGGGCGTGGCATGGCTTGGTAGGCATGGCATGGCTTGGTAGGCATGGCAGGGGAAGGATACTGTAAAATCTCCATTCCCTCCTCACTCCAGGGGAAGGTTATTGCAAAATCCCCATTTCCTCCCAATCAGCTGGGACACTGGAGGCAGAGAATAGATGGGGATGGGTCCAGTCAGAGGTGGCATTTACTGGTTCTCTGAACTACTCAAAATTTCGGCTACTGGTTCTCCAGAATTGGGCAGTACCTGCTGAATAACACCTCTGCATTAGACCAGGGATGTCAAACTCGCGGCATCACAGCGGCATCATGTAACATATTGGGATTCCCCCCCCCTCGCTAATCTGGGCATAGGCGTGGCTAGCGTGTGATGCATCTGGCCCATGGACTGTGAGCTTGACAGCCCTGTATTAGACCATTTTAATGATTAATATATTTGGTGGGCAAAGAAGTCCTATCTAGTGGGATCAAGGTATCTATGCTAGAATCCCAATCTATGCTGAATCCTTTATATTGCGAAATAAAAAAGGCAAGGAAGACAACATAGCTGCTAGCTAAGACACAGAATGGCCCAGTAGAAGGCCTGGGAACTGAGTTGAGAAGAGAGCAGGCAGATTCAAGGGCTGTTGGTGAAAAGAGAAAATCTGTCTTGCAAGGGGTCCAAGAAGGTACATGATGTGTGGAAATATAACCTAAACTGTCTTGAGCCACAAGCAAAACTTCGCAGTTAAAAATTCTTTGTTTTGTCTGCTAGGAAATATTTTGGTTTGAAACTTTGTTTTCTTTCATGCCTATGGGATTTTATGCCAAATTTATCCCTCTGATAATCATGGGAATCCCAGCCGTTGCCCTTGGCCTTTGTTTTTGAAATGCTCCATGTTCTCTTCTGCCTGGCTGCAGCTGTTCCAGATTTCTGCACTGTCCTGGATATTGAATGAATTATTTCTTCCAGTTTTGTCTTTGGTGTCATTCGAAAGGGACCACAAGCTGATTGTATCTTAAGACCCTGTCCTCTGACAGACAATGCGCTTGTGAAACAGGGTAGAGGTGGCAAAAATTGAATGCATATTCCTTCAATAACTAATTCCCTCAGTTCTCCACACATATTGTATGTATTTTATTTCTCAAATATTTATTTGTCCTAGTCATGTTTTCTGTAGGAATTTTAATTCATTATGCAAGGAGAGAAGCATAGCAGCACATAATACTGAGTCATCTCTCTCTCCTCTCTCCCCTTCCTTCCTTCCTTCCTTCCTTCCTTCCTTCCTTCCTTCCTTCCTTCAGAATGAAGTAATTGCTGAAACAAAGGAAGTGGAGAAGTCATCTGCCATAGGAAGTGGAAACAAGGGAACTGGTGAAGCTGCCAGCTGCCTCAACGATAAGCACAGACTTTTCAAATTCCAAGAAGACAAGGCAAAGAGAGGGGGAATGGATGGGAAGGATCTTTTCAGAGCTGAGTTTGTTCTCATCACCGACTCAGATGAAGATACAGAGGCTATTTTAGGCAATGGTTACGGACATGAAAGTTCCAAGGGTTTAACTGCGTTCCATGTGTCCAGTGGTGATGAGTGCAAAGGACAGGAGAATGTGCCACAGATGCCACAATACACTAACCTTCCCTGCAGTTCAGCCAGTTCACAGAAAGTCCCTCAGGTAATGCCCAGGGTCATTGTTGAGATAGGAGGTTATGCGAATCGAATACATAATATTTTTTCATTTCCATACTTGAAGAAAGAAAACAGTCTGATCTATGAGTAGTTCACATACACAAACACGGGGGGAGAAGTAGGAGGGGGGCATGATACCAATAAAGGAGAATATTTGTAGGTCAGGGTTGAAATAAGGAGTCCTTGATGCTCTCTGAGCTTGTTTTCTTGCAAATGTTTCACTACCCAAACTAGGTAACATCATCAGTGCTAGTTAGAAGTAGGATTTGGTCTCAATTTCTATTCTAGTGACCCATCCTATCAATGTTGGAGGGATTGGTCTTGGAGCTTCTTTGGTTGGGCTGTTTACTGTTAGCTTGTTTGGCAGTTCCTTGATTGGGGTATTGTTTACTTTTTGTTTGTTGGTCTGATAGCAACAGTTAACCTGTAGACCACATGATGGCTGAAGGAATGTTGTATCTGAATCAATCCTGGGCCACAACCAATATCAAGATGATCAAATTATTATAAATGGAGCTCATGAAGTCCTAGAGGGCTCTTTTCTAGTTTCCCATTGCCCTGAGAAATGGCAACGCATGTGGATTATCCCGTGTAAATTATTTTTCCATAGTGGGTATTTATGGGCAGTCATTGGTATTTAAAAACATTTTGATAGTTTTGATAGGAAACTCTTGAGAAACCCCTGTGGAACATCTGATTTCACCGAAAGAAGTTTTTAAAAAAATAGCCAGGAAAGAGTAAGGAACATGCCCATTTGCTGATCAACGTCCTTGGCATGTATGCATGAGAAGCTGCATGTACCATTGATTTCAGCTATTTGGCCAAATTGAAGGACCATCGACAGAAGGGCTAGAAGGGCCCTTTGGTTCTCTTTTTAGAATTGTTTTCATTGTAGATGCTTTCCCATTTTTGCAAAGTTATGATACGATTTGGCAGCAGCCGTGGGAAACAGATCATTTCTTTTATGCTAATAAAAATGGACGTGAATAGTTTAAAATTAAATACCAGACCTTTAGCATCTCACTCTGCTATTTAATTCTGGAAATTAAGACAGCCACGCTCCCAGGTGAAGAACTCGGTAGACGTTACAGATTTGATTCTAATCTTTCTTCTTTTTCTTTTCCCTCTCCAGTTAACTTCTCCTCTGTCTGCTTCTGATCATCTTTCCTATAAATCACCTGCTGCTCCTTTACTTTCTCCAACTAATCTGAAAGTAGAACATGGACTGGCCGTTCCAGGCCATCAGGCTTCTTCTCAGCAAGAATCTCATAGCCAGTGGCGGTCTGCCAATGGATCCTGCATCCACCAGACATCCACGTATTTCCAGTCTACTACTTCTTCCAGTTTACCTTCCTCCACACCGAAAATACTTCCTTCCGCATTTGAGAGCCTTGTAGATCATGATCGGTTACCCCACAATGTTCAAAGTCACAAACCTGAAAAGGAACCCACCTCTTTGTCACTGCCATTAAGCAAGGATCCCTGTCCTCCTTCACAGGTTGTTACTTCAGCAGATGCTCTTCAGGGCTCGTCCCCTCAGGCTTATTCTCCTCTTCCTCCCAAGAAACTGGTCTCCTGCCCTCAGGTTCCCATTCATATTACAACACACGTCTTATCACCAAGTCCCACCCAACTGCCACCTTCTCTACATGGATCCTCCTCAGATATATATAATGTAAACAGCCACTGTAGCCAAATGTCCTTCAGTGGGAATCCACCAGTGTCCAGAGTTAAATCTCCTCTTCCAACTAGACTTTCTCTTTTGACGGCTATTCTGAAGTCAGGGTCTTCTCCAAAAAGGCCATTTTCTCCCGCGTCCTGTCCTGGCACTTTTTCTCCCAATTCCTTCGATTCTTCAATTCTGGCATCTGAGCAGAAATTTAAAACTACCCCTCCCACTCCCAAGAAAGCTGCTTCACAGTTTTCTAACTTCAGATCCGATTCCCCATATCAAGATGAAGGTTACTTTTCGGGGCTTTCTAATGTGCCAAGGAACAGGATGGTTTCCTCAAGGTCCAGTCCTACCCTTCAAACGTGGTCTCTGTCCCCTAAAAGGACGCTTGATACTGGGGCACATTCCCCTGACAAACTGCGTCCTTTGTCACCCACAATTTCCTCCTACAGGAAAACAGTTGTGTCTCCTCTGCTAAAACCCAAACTGACCGGTTTTTCCTTATCTCCCCATGTTTTGAGGCAAAGGGTCTTCAAAACACGAGAGCCAGAGAAGTCTACAAAAGTACGCACCTGGTCTCCCACTTTCACTGCCAAATCCCATCCGGCACCAACCTTTGCAGTCAACCAAAGGGCCACAGTCTCACCCACAGCACAAAAACTGTCTTACTCTCCGGCTCCTGTACATTCTAGTAATCAGCCTAAAGAACACTTGCTACATGTCTCTGCAAAGGATCGAGGTACAAAACTATCAAGTCATTGGCCTTTTTATCACCAAGACTCGCCATCATCTATTCCTCCAGGCTGTAACATCAACTCCCCTTTGCTTCAGACAAACGCATCATCCCCTCTTCATTCAAACTTCAGAACTTGTTCGCCCTGCTCAAGACACAAGTCCTCAGTGATAACACCACGCGGATCCCTGGCCAGAAAGCATTCTCCTTGCCCACAGTTGTCAAGATCAAGGGAGACTAGCTCACCGCTCTCCTTTTCCTTGCCTTCTGATTGTGAGAATAAGACTCCTCAGGTACTCTATCTCATTGCTTCTTTCTATTCCTCTAATCCCTTTTTCCATTTCTGTTCCAGGAAAATGGCACCCCAAGGAAAAGAAAATTGTAAATATAGACATAATTGCATTTGTAATGTTTTCACATCTGACAAAACATTAGAAATGTGATAGTGAAACATTTCCCAAGCACGTGGGTTCCATGGATATAAACATATTGGCCACCACGATGTGAAAAAGATGTGGACACTCTAGAAAGAGTGCAGAGAAGAGCAACAAAGATGATTAGGGGACTGGAGGCTAAAACATATAAAGAATGGTTGCAGGAACTGGGTATGTCTAGTTTAATGAAAAGAAGGACTAGGGGAGACATGATAGCAGTGTTCCAGTATCTCAGGGGCTGCCACATAGAAGAGGGAGTCAAGCTATTCTCCAAAGCACCTGAGGGTAGAACAAGAAACAATGGGTGGAAACTAATCAAGGAGAGAAGCAACCTAATAGTAACAGAGTTGGAAGGTACCTTGAAGGTCATCTAGTCCAACCCCCTGCTCACGCAGGAGACCTGTACTAGGGATTCGAACTGCTGAAGTGCCGACCTTTCTGATCTTAGTCTTAGCCACTGAGCCATCTAGAACTAAGGAGAAATTTACTGACAGTTAGAACAATTAAGCAATGGAACAACTTGCCTTCAGAAGTTGTGAATTCTCCAACACTGGAAGTTTTTAAGAAGATGTTGGATAACCATTTGTCTGAAGTGGTGTAGGGTTTCTTGCCTATGCAGGGGGTTGGACTAGAAGACCTCCAAGGTCCCTTCCAACACTGTTATTCTATTCTATTCTATTCTATTCTATTCTATTCTATTCTATTCTATTCTATTCTGTTCATATAACCAAAATGATTTCAATCATATTTTAGTGTGGGGGGAGGGGAGGGAGGAATCATATATGCTAAAGAGATTTATGGCAATCTGGATATGTATGGATCTCTGTATTTGTAAAGCTTAAATTCCATATCTGATTTTCCAAATTTCCAAATTAACTCTTTTTATATGTTTGCAGCCTGAGAGAGTATCTTTTAGCATGTTTGTAAAGTTTCAGAATTATTACATTTCACAAACAGGCAAGTTACAGGTAGTCCTCGATTTACAACATTTCATTTAGAGACTGTTCAAAGTTACAACGGCCTTGAAAAAAGTGACTTATGACCATTTTTCACCCTTATGACTATTGCAGAATCCCCACGGTCACGTGATTTACATTCGGATGTAAATGTAAAATGTAAATTGACAACTGACTCACATTTATGATGATTGCAGTGTCCCAGAGTCATGTGATCCCCTTTTGCGACCTTCTGACAAGCAAAGTCAACGGGGAAACCAGATTCACTTAACAACCTTGTCACTAATTTAAGAACTGCAGTGGTTCACTTAGCAAATGTGGCAAGACCAAGTCATGACATGGGGCAAAAATTCTCACTGAACAACATAATTTTGGGCTCAATTGTGGTCATAAGTTGAGGACTACCTGTTTACAGACAGTATTTCTCTAATATTTTATTCATGGAAGTCTGACAATTCAATCTGTGTTCATCAGTAAAAGAAAGAACTGAGGAGGCTGTACTGGTTTAATTTATTTATGTTGCACCCTCATTATCTGAAACTGGTCTTGTTGATTGTTACCTCATGGAGCACTAAGATTCAAGTTTGTGGTAAGAGGGGCCTGGTTTGAAGGTCCCCTTAATCAAAAACAGTGATTGCTGCTGGTAGGAATTAACTTTGATCTGTGAAAAGGCTTAAAATTAACTTCAGTGTAACAGACGGCAGTTCTGTTACTGGTTACAAATATTTACATATAAAATCAGTTCTTCATATAAATCGTAGCATATGCTAGTTTGTAATAAATCACATGTATGAAGGCTGCTAATAATTACATCCTATTTTTGCATTCATCCCCATCTGTAAAGGATGTTTTTACGTTCTTTTTGAGACAAATCTGCAGATAGAAATGTCTCTTTCAGCCACACAAACAACCCAACTCTCCATTTAGGATAGTTCAGCACGCAGCTCTCTCTCTCAAAGGCAATTGCATAAATCCCTCTACTGCAGTGTGGTGATTTGGCACTGATTGCTATTCCATTCCAGTATCTGTTTTGTAGATGTTTAAAGCTGTCATTGATAAGGATGCTCAACAGCCCTGTGGACTGTCAAGCATCGTGGACAGCATGTAGGATAATTAAAATTATCATTTAGAAGAACAGTTAACTTTCAGTTTTAATAACATCACTCCAAGTGACAACAGGTTCCTCTGTGATTTCAGGAAATGTCCTTAAGTGCCTTATTTGAACCTGGTGTGTGTGTGTGTGTGTGTGTGTGTGAGAGAGAGAGAGAGAGGGAGGAAGGGAGGGAGGGAGAGAGACAGAGGGAGAGAGAGGGGGAGGGAGGAGAGAGAGAGGGGGGAGGGAGAGAGGGAGAGAGAGAGAGAGAGGGAAAGAGAGAGGGAGGGAGGGAGACAGGAAGAGAGAAAGGGAGGGAGGGAGAGAGAGGGGGGAGAGGGAGGGAGGAAGAGAGAGGGAGAGGTGTCACCATTCTATTCTTTTCATTCAGCTCTGAGGCTAGAGAGATACAATGCAATATATGTCTAGAGAGAACATGCTATATAGAATAGAATAGAATTCTTTATTGGCCAAGTGTGATTGGACAGACAAGGAATTTGTCTTTGATGCATATGCATCAGTGTACATAAAAAGAAAAAAGAATAAATACATTCATCAAGAATCATAAGATACAGACCTTAGTGATTGTCATAGGTTACTAATAAGCAATCAAATCATACTAGGAAACAAATAAAACAATTTAAATCATAAAGATACAAGCAACATGGTTATAGTCATAAGTGGGAGGAGATCCCTATAGTCATAAGGATGAGAAAAATAATAGTAATTCGGTCTTAATAGTTTGACAGTGTTCTGGGAATTACTGTAGTTATCTAGCAGAGTGATGGCATTCAGGAAAAAACTGTCCTTGTGTCTAGTTGTTCTGGTGTGCAGTGCTCTATAACGTCGTTTTGAGGGTAGAAGTTGAAACAATTTATGTCCAGGATGTGAGGGGTCTGTAGATATTTTCTCAGCCCTCTTTTTGACTCGTGCAGTATACAGGTCTTCAATGGAAGGCAGGTTGGTAGCAATTGTTTTTTCTGTAGTTCTAATTATCCTCTGAAGTCTGTGTCTGTCTTGTTTGGTTGTAGAGCTTTATGTTGTCATGTAATGAAGTTTTATATGGTTTCCACTCCCTTTCCCTGAGGTGAGTAATTTTTACATAGTCCTTATGCTACGTAGTGATTTCATTTATATTGACACCAGTAAACAGCATGCAACTAATCTGTTCTCTTTACACATACATAGCCACATTTTTTTTTAATGAGCTCCGAGTCCTCTTCCAGTAATTAAAACCCTCCACCAATTTAAACCCTCTACCTTGTGAGGACTACTTCCAACTGTGCACCTTTTTTGTGAAGGAGTCCTATCATAGGTCTTAGAAAATGAGCCCTAAAGGTAGAGCTTCCTGTTACTTTTGCAGCATCTGCATCAAATCTCAGATTTCTTTCTTATAAATAAATACTCTTTACATCAGGGGTCTCCAGACTTGGCAACTTTAAAACTTGTGGACTTCAACTCCCAGAATTCCTCAGCCAGCTTTGCTGACTGACCTGTGCCACATGATCCTTGAAACCCTTTTTTTTTCTTTTTTAAAGCATTTTTCTACTACTGGTTCCGGCGAATAGATAGTAAAAAATGCTTTTAAAAAGTAAAAAAAAGGTTCCGAAGATCGCGCGGCACAGTGTTGGAACCTTTTTTTACCTTTTTAAAGTATTTTTTACTACCGGTTTGCCTGAACTGGTAGTTTTTATCACTACTGGTTCACCCAAACTAGAGTGAACAGGTAGCATTTCACCCCTGATGTAAGCTGTTTCAAGTGAAGCTGCCTTTTGCAATTGACTGATGGTGAATTTGTCAGTGCCAATGATATTCAAGTGGTGCTCCAGTTATTTTGGGATTCCACCCATTATTATTAAATTTATTTGTCATCCATTTTGTGGTTTGAGGCTACTCTGAACAGCTTACGAAGTGTTAAAATATGCAAATATAAAACAATTATAAATATAAAATAGGTTAAAATTATACATAAAAAAAACCTACCAAACTTACTCATTAAAAACCCTGGGCTTGGAGCAGAAAAAGATGGTACTTTCTCTATTACTACATCAATCATCTCCAGCCAACAGCTTTTCCTTCATCACTCCAAGCCAACCAGCATAGTCAGGTTTTAAAGCTTTTCCTGAAGGCTAAAAGAGAAGGAGCAGATCTCGCCCCCTGTGGCAAGATCTTCCAAAGGGCAGGGTCCATGGCAGAAAAGGCAATTCTGCTCAATCCTACCAGCCAAAATTCCTTGGCTGATGGGATCCACAGTAGGATCTAACCTTCTCCAGCTCCGTACTTAACTCATTGTCATCGGAACAGTGAAACATCATGACTTGGAAGAGTGATAATAATGATACTGCTTCTTGCTGCATGTTGTACTCTTGTCTGTGAGTAATATTGCAGTTCTGTGACAGTAAACATAATATATGTGGCATGTCAATGGTAGAGTTCTATTATCTGAAATACTGCACATGCAGAAGAATAAAAGGAAAGGAGTCCCTGTGGATTTTACTCCGCTAGTCGCAACCGACTATAGGGGGCAGTGCTTATCTCCATTTCAAGGGCCATTAAGCAGCACTGTGTGGCCACCAGGATGTTACAGAAAGCTATTTCCTCTCCACTGAAGTGGTACCTATTTATCTACCTGCATTTGCATGCTTTCAAACTGCTAGATAGGCAGGAGCTAGGTGTAGACAGAAGCTCTCCCATCATATTTGCAGCTGGGCTTGTACATGCAGAATGCTAATTAAACTCCAGCTTTCCAGCTTTATTGAGAGGGACCCGCAGAGTTAAAATTCTTATTCAGGGGACAGGATGAAAGGCAAGCAGTGAAGAATAAAGTAAAACAAATGACGTTTAGTGCTGATTTTAATGCTGACAAATGACTGCACAAGGGAGATCAGTGAGCTGCCAAATCCATTTTGTCTCGTAAAAGTTACTAACATTTGGTTTTGATAACTAAACTTCTCGTCATGCTGGGGATGCAAATTGTGGGATAGCAAGGAAAGCGAGGATGAGAATAGTGGTGATTTAAGAGAAATTACATTTGCACTTCAATGCTTTACAATATGCAAGAAAAAATTGAAAAAGAAGTGACGCCCTAACTTGGGGTATCAAACTCAAGGCCCACAGGCCAGATCCAGCCCTTGGGATGCTTAGATCTGGCCCATGGGGCTGCCCTGGAAACAGCGAAGGACTGGCCTGCAGTGCCTCTGACAGCGAAAATGGAGCTCGGGAGGGCAGTGTGTGGTCCTCACAAGCTCCATTTTTGCTGGCATAGGGTTGCAGAAGGCCATCGCAGCTGAAAACAGAGCTCAGGAACCCGTTTTCACTGGCAGAGTGCTCAGGCCACCACAGGTGCCCCCAACATGAGTGATGCCAAGTTGGCCATGCCAACCCTGGCCACGTCTCCCCCAGCCCCCCCCCCGAGATCAAACACAACCCTGATGTGGCCCTCAATAAAATCAAGTTTGACACCCCTTCATATTAATGTAATTTGTTACAATTGCATTGCAGAACACCCTATGAGTTGTTAAGAAGAGCATAGAAGCTTATTAAAGAATGGTCAAGAAAATTCCCACCTTTTCTGAAGGCTGAATGACATTAAGAGTGAAATTATTCCAAGTGGTTTCTGAGATATTTTGGTTAAATTCTTATTGGATTATAAAATGGAAGAAGAGCAGGTCAAAAAAACGATGGTGGCATGGGCAATACATTTTGGGTACAATATATAGCTGGAAAATATGGCAAGAATTATGGGGAAAAAATAGGAAAATAACATTGGCAATACCATATAAAGAAAATTTATATAAAATGTTCTACAGGTGGCATCTTCTGCCAGTGAGATTGGCAAAAATGTTTAGAAATTTATCACCAAAATGTTGGAAATTCAATCACAAATCAGGCACGTACTACCATATGTGGTGGTCATGTAAAAAAGCGGAAAATTCATTTATGGTTGGCAGAAGTAATTGGAGAAGAAATAGAATATAAACCAGAACTATTCCTATTGGGAATTATAAATGGGAAATATAGTAAAGGGGTAATTTACTTAATAATATATATTATAACAGTAGGAAGAATGATTTTTGCCCAAAATTGGAAAAATAAGGAAATCCCTCTAGAAGATGAAGTGATCAAAAAAAAAAAAATTGACATGTGCAGAAATGGACAAATTAATGATGGAATTGAAAAATAAAGGCAAGTCAGATTATTATAAAATATGGAACAAATATTATCAATGGTTGGAACGGAAAAGAGGGATGAAAAATATGAACTGACTAGAACGTATAGAATAGAGAACTAAGGGTATGTATGTAGTTACAATAGAATGAAAGAGGATAAGACAAATGTATAAGTAATATAGATGAAAAATGATGTATTTATATATGTAAATACTGAATAGACCAAATGTATATAAGTAGCAAGGTATATATGATACTTATTGTTTATTTTAGTATGTATGGCAAAGATAATGCCAGGATGGTTACACTGTGTCCAGTGATTTAATATGCGTTTAATAAAATAAAATAAAAATTAATTTATTTAAAAAAATAATTCAATAAAAAAAAGAAAAAAGAAAAAAAAGAACATTCTCATTAAGAATTTTTAATGACATTAAGAGTGAAATTATTCCAAGCAGTTTCTGAGATATTTTGGTTAATTAATATTTTGTACTGTCTAATAAATGGAATAATGGAAGAGCTAACGATAAAAAAGTTTTTTCTTCCTCATTGAATATCCTTTCCTTCTCAGTTTGGATATTGTACTTTTACTTGGTTAACAAGTTTGAGATTCACACTGAGATAGTGTAAGAAAAATTACCTCATAAAGATGATCATCCATCTCTTTTCACAAGGGTCTCAGTGAGCTTGTAACTGAATATATTAGCTCTAGGGACAGAAAGAAAAATATATCTTTGTGGACTAAAATATATGAATAGATATCCAGCCTCTGGAATAAATTATAATGGGGACTCTATGATATACAGTAATTATGGCATTGAGGTGTATATGCAATACTTTAAAATGGCAGAAAATCATTTAACTGTGTAACTTTTTTCTCCCTTATACTAAGACAGCATTCATATTGAAGTCTTAAAAGAAGACTTCTTAGTTTGAATACTATCACATCTTTCCTCTTTCTAATTATGATTTACAGTCATACAAGATCAATGCAAGCTACAAGACATTTGCAGCCATCCCAACAAACACACTGCTTCTAGAACAGAAGGTTAGTTGGGTGCTCAAAGGTATGGGCTGGTATTAATATTAATTTTGAAATTAAGGGCATAAGCAGATAACTGTGTGAAAACTGTTTGCTGACCTTTGAGGCCACAGAAAAACAGATTGCTGAGTCCTATTTAGGCACAACACTGATGGTTACTTCTGTCCTTTCTCTTTTAGTGTTAAGGAAATCAATTGGTATGTATGGAGATTGTCAGTCCTCCAGGTCATAGTTGTTCCAAAGATGCTTTTTGCAAAAGGCAACTGGCCTTTCTTGGTTTTTTTTTTTTTAAGTGTTTTGTATCTCATCTAAGAAGCTTCTTCAGTTCTAGCTGACTGGAGGATAGGGATTCAGGTGACTCTGAGGATCAGGGGTGGGCTTCAAAAATTTTAGCAAGGGGTTCTCTGCCTGGTTGCTGGGTGGACGTGGCCATGGTGGACGTGGCCTAGTCGGCCTCCTGCACCATGATGGTGGTGGGGGGGGGGGGGCGTTTTTGCCCTCCCCGGGCTCTGGAGGCTTTGCTTGAGCCTCCGGGAAGCCTTCTGGAAGACGGAAATGGGCCCATTTCTGGGCTTCCTGAACTTCCAGTAGGCCCTTTTTTCACCCTCTCTGAGCCTCCACATACGCCCTGCACTTATCTGCATCCAAAACGGGCCATGAGGGGACTCCTGGGGGGGGGGGGGGGGGGGGTCAGCCTGGAGTGGGATTTGGGGGTTCTCCAACTACACAGAATCTTAACTAGAGGTTCTCCTGAATCCCTGTGAACCCCCATCCCTGCTGAGGATACAGATAAATCCCCAAGTGGCCTCAACTACTCCCAGAGAAATAATGGTTGACCCTCAGAGTACTAATGACCAGATAATTGCAAAGAATATAAATCCTTCCATTCCCCACCAGTCAGCTAGAACCGAAGAAGATTCTTGGATGAGAAGTGAAACATTTTCAAAGAAAAAACCAAGGAAGCACCTTTGGAATACAAATGGTGGTTTGCTCTGCCTTAGTTTCTCTTCCACCAACCATCACCTACCATTGTGAGAGCAACCACTGAAAGCTCTCCCTAACATGGGAAGGGGAGTAGGTAGATGCCTCAAACAATATGTTGAGCCACCAGCCAACTTGCTTATGATTTCTTCATCTAGCTATTTCTGAAATATGGGTCTACTGATCTTCTGAAAAGGGAGCTGAACCTGTATCTAAAAATAGCCTGTCTGACACACCACAGGGGTGGAGGAGGGGTAAAGTGAGAAGCAAAAGGTGCCACTGATGACAAACAACTGGAAACCCATGGATAAAATGACCCCACACCAGCGGTGAAATCCACCCGGCTCGCACAAACCGGTAGCACCAGTGGCAGGAGGCTCCGCCCACCTGCTGGGATGTCATTACATCCCGTTTTTGACCTTCTGCACATGCGCAGAAGGCTCTGTGCATGTGCAGAAGAGGCACATGCGTGCATAGCGTGCGCACACATGTGCATGCTCCCCTTCCCGAACCTGTAGCGAAGTTAAGCGGATTTCACCGCTGCCCTACATGTCCCTCTCCCACAACAAAAGGAATACAAGTAATCTTGCAATGTAACCAAACGTGACAAAATCAACAACTTGAGCTGGTAGAATTCCTCCGTCTTGAAGGAACCTTCTGTGCAGTTGGAGACTTTCTAAAAGGCATTAATAAAAACCTTATTTGCAGGTCTAGGACTTTTCAAACACTGCTAAGCCTGTGTTTATATGGCACCTGCAAAAGCACCTTGGGGAGCACTGATCAGTCACTACACAGATGTGTAATAAATAAATAACTACAATTAATGCCTCTGCAGAAGCCATTAATAACTACAATTAATGCCTCTGCAGAAGCCAGGTCTGGGATCTCCCCTGCGGCCCAACCCAAAGGAATCACGGAGGGTGTTCCCAACTTGAAGGGGCATATTTGCAACAGCCATAAGTGATCATTAGAATTTGGACAAATTCATCCCTGACCACATTGATAAAACATGCTAAATCATATCCATGGTAAACAGAAAGGAAACACTCTTTTAAAACTGGAAGGGTTAAATACAATTTATGCCTCTACTAAATGCCTCTGCTTTAGTTGTGACCTGGGGAATGAGACGGAGGCCAAGACCACAACATAAGAAATGGTTATTTGCACAGATTTGTGTTGAAGTAGTGACGATGAGCTTTTGGAGTCAGCTGAAATGTAGTACAGAAAGCCTTTTTTCCAAGTTCAGATTGTAAGCTGATTGATACCGTACCAAATCAAAGCCTTCAAATGGGTAAACCAGCAAGCAAAATGGGCAGCTCAACAGTCCCATATAAATAAAGCTCTTATGTTGGTTGTAACTGTAAAATCAGATGCATTTTTAGCAGTCAAGAAGCCATAATAGTGCACTGGCAAGGCTGACCTGGCAAGTCACCCGTTATGAAAAATGTACTGATGTTTTAGTCAGTACTAGAGGATACCATAGTTTGACTTATTGTGTGTCATTCCCGTTGTGCTCGGCTAAAATGTAGTTCATTGATATTGTATTATGTATGGAACCAGCAAATTATGATTTACAGTATGGCTTACTATATTAAGCATAAATCATAGTTCAACAAGCTTGTGAACCCATCATGTGACAAGTAGTTTCTAAAGAAATCAGAAATTTGGTTGCCAGAATGGCCTTTGTTGAGTGTTCCTTAGTCAAAAGCAATATTAGGCAGTTCCAGGGTTCTCAAATGTTGCTGTAGGTTTTAGAAAACGGTGCATCTTAATGACCCTGGATCAGTGGTGGGATTCAAATAATTTAACAACCTGCCCTAATGACCAGCTGGGTAGGCGTGGCTCGGTGGTCATGTGACTGTGTGGGCGTGGCCAATTTAACATCGCTCACATCGATGGGCGCTTTGCCTTAGCTGTTACAATGTAATAAGGGTTAACCAGAGAGGCAGTTTCTGTAAGCAGGGCAATAAAGATTAGTCTAGAAACACCACCAGAATGTTTCCTTCCTGCCTTCCTTACAGGATTAGCCCTGTAAAGTGGGAAAAAAACAAAATAAGATTTCTTCCAATAACTGGTTCTCTGAACTGCTTGGAAAGTTAACAACCGGTTCTCCTGAATAGGTGCGAACTGGCTGAATCCCACCACTGCCCTGGATGGGGGGGTCACACTCTTCCAGATGGTGCAATGCTGTTCACTGAAGAATAGGTGGTAGCAATGGCTAGGAGACCTTTAGCACAATTATATTTTGTGCACCGGTTGGTGCAGGAGGCACTATTCATGGTTACCTAGTCCTTAGACACCTCTCCTTTGAACAATTACAATGTGCTTTACATGGAAGTGTCCTTGAAGAGCACTTGGAAATTTCAGATGCTCCAGAACACCTCATCACGTGCAGATTGGACACTTTAAGGTGTACATTTTTAAAGCACTGCTGCTATGGTTCCCATAAATATGTGTGTGTTCAAAAATCAGATGCTTAACCAACAAAATAAATTGGACAAGAGCTTGTTTTAATTATATTATAATGCTTAGATAGTTGAATATCTATGATAGTTGAATATGATATGATATAAATTACTTTATCAGATATTACATAAGTGCATTATTATTGTTATTCTTGTCTTGTCTTACTGTCAGAATAATATGAATTTATTCATAGGCACTCGATGAACAAACCAAAGCGGAACTAGAAGTTGAGGACGGAACTCTGGATACCCATTCAGAGGTGACAATTAATTTCTCAGTGTTTAATTGATTCTTATTTAATTCATTTTGTTTTGGCTGTATTGCTTTCTCATCAAATTTCCACATTCAGAATTGAATAGGGAAATAATTGCTTCAGCCTGCACCAGTGGTGAAATCTATTTTTTTTACTACCGGTTCTGTAGATGTGGCTTGGTGGGCGTGGCTTGGTGGGTGTGGCAGGGGAAGGATCCTGCAAAATCTCCATTCGCAGCCCACTCAAGGGGAAGGATACTGCAAAATCTCCATTCCCACCCCACTCTGGGACCAGCCAGAGGTGGTATTTGCCGGTTCTCGAACTACTCAAAATTTCCGCTACTGGTTCTCCAGAACCTGTCAGAACCTGCTGAAACCCACCTCTGACTGAACCTGAGAACCTGCTGGATTTCACCCCTGGCCTGCACCCTGCTCTGGATGTCATGGAGGTGACACACACTGGGCTATGCAATGCTTTGCATCTGAAAGTGAAAAAACTGCTTCAGAGAATGGATTAATGTTTTCAGAACAACTTGTGCAACTATTTAAAACAACTGCACAATCCTAGGGGAAAAAAAGCCTCCTCCCCTCATCCTCTATCCAGCCAAATCCTATAGGACTCCTTTGATTTCACGGTGAGTTCATATGAGCACTGAAGCACCATTTGGCCTTTTGAAGTGAAAGCACTGCACAACTTTAGAAACACCTAGTAAATAATCTGGTTGGGTAGGAGGAGGGGGAGGAGAGTCCAAAATCAGGTTTGATTGGTCATAGCTTTTCCAATGGATGCATTTTATTAAAAAGCATAAGCTTTAGTGAGCTCCAGCTGTCTTCATCAACTGCATAGATGAGCTACAATGATGTAGGGTTTAAAATGGGATGAACTGGAGGAGGGGAAAGACAAGACGCTTGTGCAGATGCTGGCTGCATGTGTGCAAGATTGCAAGTACCTTATCAATTAGCAAATGCAATGTGCTATAACCCATTGTGGTTGTTGAGACCTTCTGAAACGGTCTAAAATCTCTTGTTGCACATAAATTCGGCAATCGGCGCTGCTAAAATGGATTTGATTCAAAGCAGCTATTTGAAATCTGGAATGGAGTAATGATCTGAGTCACCTGCAGAGGTGGTGCTGGTTCAGACCAGTTCAGGAGAACCAATAGTACCAACCAGTGGCTGGGCCCATCCACTCACGCTGGAGCTATCCCGTCCTATATAATCGGCATTTTTTTGATGCCGCGCACACTCACGTTTTCGGTTCTGGGCGAACCGGTTGTTACAGTATGTGACACCCACCTCTGGTCACATGTGGAGCCATGGACTGTGCAAACTACCATATACTTAACGGGATGAAATGCAGAAAGCACACCAACAAGGGTTCTCCTTGGCTTTCATTTTTCATGGTGGGAAACTCATATGGCAAGTTGGAGGGGGGGGGAATGTTTAGCTAGTTGAAAGTTGAAATAAGAGACTTAAGTCTTCAGCTTTCCAAGTTCTGCATAGCACCACCCAGTCTTTATGTTTTGAGAAAGGGCACCATCAGGAGAAGAATGCCAAAGAGATTTCCAGAGTACCAGGAGCATTCAGTTTGGGTTGCAAAACTCTGATGACTACTAAGTAGAAAGCAAGAGATACCAAAAGTCTAGGCGCCATCTAGTGGTCATCCAAAGTCGTGCAGTACAGATAAAATAACTCATCTCCTTGACTTACAACCATTTGTTTAACAACCATTCAAAGTTTTAACGGCACTGAAAAAAACTGACTCTTGACCATTTTTTCTACACTTACGACCGTTTCAGCATTCCCATCGTCATGTGGTCAAAATCATAATATTTGGCAACCAGCTCAAATTTATGACGGTTGCAGTGTCCCTTTTGTTTACCTTTTCGCAAGCAAAGTCAATGGGGAAGCCAGACTCACTTAACAACCGTGTTACTAACTTAACCAATGCAGTGGATTCACTTAACAACAGTGGCACGAAAGGTCATAAAATGGGGTAAAACTCACTTCATCTTGCTTACCAATGGAAATTTGGGGCTCAGTTGTGGTTGTAAGTCAAGGACCACCTGCTGCAGTAGGTCCTGTGAGAAAGAAGCGGTGCTAACAAGACGTTTAATCTCTGGAGTTGAGAATCAGAGGAAATCACTTTCTCTCTTTAAAAATCCCATAGATGTGCTCGCCTGCCCAACTCAGGCAACAAACGGAAGAACTTTGTGCTGCTATTGATGAAGTCTTGCAAGAGCCTTCAGCCAGGGTATGCTAATGTCTAAAGCCACTTGCTTGTTTGGGTTGCTTCCTTTCACCTTCTGTATTTGAACACCTGTTCTTTTCAATCTATTCTTTCAGCGCCGATGTAATTCCTCTCCAGGCTCCCTGAAGAGCGTACTCGATTCAAATATGAGCAAAGTAAGTGAATAAGAATGCTAATGAAAATGAGCCACAGTGGCACAGTGGTTAGAGTGCAGTAGAATAGAATAGAATAGAATAGTTTATTGGCCAAGTGTGATTGGACACACAAGGAATTTATCTTGGTGCATATTTATTTATTTATTTATTTATGTATGTATGTATGTATGTATGTATGTATGTATGTATGTATGTAATTTATATGCCGGCCTTGTCCCGTAGGACTCAGGGCGGCTTACAAAAACAAAACAAAGAATTACATAAACAATTAAAATCAATTTAAAATTAAATTAAAATCAGTTAAAAATTATTAAAATTATTTGAAGTCACCCCTACGGATTCAGCCCATTTGGTGAAAAAGCCACGTCTTCAATTCGCGGCGGAAGGAAAGGAGGTCCGGAGCTGTCCTGAGGCCGGTGGGGCAGCCCATTGCAGAGGGTCGGCACTCCCACAGAGAATGCTCTCCCCCTGGGGGCCGCCAGCCAACATTGTCTGGCTGATGGCGCCCTGAGGAGGCCCGCTCTGTGTGAGCACACCAGACGGTGGGAGGAAGGCAAGAGATGCTCTCAGTGTATAAAAGAAAAGATACATTCATCAAGAATCATAAGGTACAACACTTAATGATAGTCATAGGGTACAAATAAGCAATCAGGAAACAATATCAATATAAATCATAAGGATACAAGCACCAAAGTTACAGTCATACAGTCATAAGTGGGAGGAGATGGGAGGTGGGAACGATGAGAAGATTACTAGTAATGCAGACTTCGTAACTAGTTTGACAGTGTTGATGGAATTATTTGTTTAGCAGAGTGATGGCGTTCGGGAAAAAACTGTTCTTGTGTCTAGTTGTTCTGATGTGCAGTGCTCTATAACGTCGTTTTGAGGGTAGGAGTTGAAACAGTTTATGTCCAGGATGCAAGGGGTCTGTAAATATTTTCATAACCCTCTTTTTGACTCGTGCAGTATACAGGTCCTCAATGGAAGGCAGGTTGGTAGCAATTGTTTTTTCTGCAGTTCTAATTATCCTCTGAAGTCTGTGTCTGTCTTGTTGGGTTGCAGAACCAAACCAGACAGTTATAGAAATACTGCAGGCTACTTCTGCTACCTGCCGGCTGCCTGCAATTTGGCAATTCAAATCTCACCAGGCTCAAGGTTGACTCAGCCTTCCGTCCTTCCGAGGTCGGTAAAATGAGGACCCAGATTGTTTGGGGGCAATATGCTGACTCTGTAAACAGCTTAGAGAGGGCTGTTAAGCACTGTAAAGTGGTATATAAGTCTAAGTGCTATTGCTAATGAAAATCCTCCCCTTTCCCCCCAAAATGTCTCAATAGTATTTTTTGTTGCTGTTGTTGAAACAGGGATGTGAACGTGACTATTAAAATTAAGTAGTAAAAAGGGAGATGTAAATCCTGGTGTTCCAACATCCCCCCTGCTTTTGTTTTGATGCTGCATTCAATCACTTGCCTACAGTATTTCCCCTACAGATACAGATACAAAATACTTTGGTAACTTCAGGGGTGGGATTCAGCCGGTTTGGACAGTTTCAGGCGAACCTGTAGCTCAAACAATCAGCTGGGAACGAACTGGTTCTCTCTGACAATCAGGTGGGCCCGCCCCTGTGCTTTACTTACCTTTATCCTCTCAGCTGTTTCGTGCAACGGAGCGGATTGCTGCATCTCAGCTGTGTTACTCTGCAGAAGTAACGTGAAAGGTTAGTTTTGTTAAAACTGCGCACATGCGTATAGTGTAAAGCAGGTGCGTGTGAAACATGCAATCACCAAACCGGTTGTTAAACTGGCAGGATCCCACCACTGGGTAACTTACATTCCAGGCAGTCAGGCAATAGCATGATGAATGTGGAAGAACAATCTTTTTCTTCTGTCTGAGTTGTGGGTTGTCTAGCCAGAGGATAATCACCATGCTGCATGTATCTATTTTCTATGGAGAAACCGGTAGCAAAAATCCCTGCCCCCGCCCCGCCCCCATGCCTGGCTGAGCCGCACAACTCATCAGAGGCTTTTTTTATTATTATTTTTAAAAGCATTTTTTCTACAACCTCTTCGGCTGAAAAAATGCTTTTAAAAGTAAAAAAAAAGCCTCTGATGATTGCGCGGCTCAGCTGGGATCATCAGAGGCTTTTAAAAGCATTTTTACTACAACCTCTTTGGCCGAAGAGGTTGTAGAAAAATGTTTTTAAAAGAAAAAAAAGCCTCTGACGATCAGGCAACTCAGCTGGGATCGTCAGAGGCTTTTAAAAGCATTTTTTTACAACCTCTTCGGCTAAAGAGGTTGTAGAAAAAATGGTTTTAAAAGTAAAAAAAAAAAAGAGTTGGCCACGCCCACCCAGTCACATTACCCCCCCCACCAAGCCACGCCCACAGAACCGGCAGTAACAAACTTTACATTTCACCACTGGGTAGAAGCTCCTTTAATGAATTGGTGGTTATTATCATGTTTGGTAAACTCAATTTGATATCGTCCAGGTCCTATATTGAGTTCATTACCTCCTCCTGAGAACGCATAGTAAGGGGTGCATTGAGTCAAATTTCTCTCCCTCCTTCAGCCTGATGGATTTTTTCCTCCAAAGAATAAATGTTATCAGCAACCTTCCTGGATCTACCTTCCCGTTACACCTTGGCAAGCTTCCCAGGAGTCAGGAGTGGCAGGAACAGATATTTTAAAATACTCCAGTTGGCATAATCCCAAAGCTCTGTAGAAAAAGCTTAAGAGCATTTGGGGTAATACGAGTTGTTGAAACAACAGCACAAGCCTCTTAAAACCTTGGCAGTGTGGGAAGCCTTGTTATCTCCATTAATTCTGTCAGTGTTCTTTTACACCTAAGTAACTATGACAGATTTCAGGACAGGCTTTTTCTTTGATTATTTATGTGGATCATTTCTATATTCAGCTAGTCCTCAACTTACAACAGTTCATTTAGTGACCATTAAAATCACAACAGCACTGAAAAAAAAGGTGACTTATGACATTTTTCACAGTTACGGCCTTAGCAGCATCCCCATAGTGAGGTGATCAAAATTCAGATGCTTGGCAACTGATTCATATTAATGATGGTTGCAGTATCCTGGGATCACGTGATCACCTTCTGCAACCTTCTGACAGTCAATGGGGAGGCCAGATTCACTTAACAACCAGGTTACGAACTGAATAACTGCAGTGAATGTAAGGAAGCCAGATTCACTTCACAACTGAGGCAACAAAGGTCATAAAATGGGGCAAAATTCACTTAACAAATGTCTCACTTAACAAATGTCTCACTTAACAACAAAAATTTTGGGCTCAGTTGTGGCCGTAAGTCAAGGACTACCTGTAATAACATGATTTTTTTTTCAGTTGTAGTATTTATGTTTCAAATGGCCCTTCAGTGCCAAGCTTTGAATTGTCTTTATCATATTGTATTTCACTGTGTGTTTGTGTGTGTGTGTGTTTGTGTGTTCTGCCCTGTATTGACATTCTCACCACCTTCCTTTACAAAGCCAGAGAATCCTTCTTCTCCTAGCCTTTTTATTTCTTCTAGCTTTTTGTTGGCCTCTGACAGTTGATCAATATATAGATATGACCTTGTGGGACATAAGCAGGCGATTATTTTGCAACTGAGGACAGTTCTGTGTTCACCTCTAATAGGTTGGAATCCAGTTCATCCGTCTCAGATTCCATTCTGACTAAAGTTAAAGTTTGGGGGTTTGGGGAATAAACCACGGAGTCAGGTAGTGCATTCCAGGCATCAACAACTCTGTTACTGAAGTCGTATTTTCTGCAGTCTAGTTTGGATCGGTTTACCATGAGTTTGTATTCTATCTATTGTATGCTCTTGTATTGTTTTGGTTGAAGCTGAAGTATTCATTGGCTGGTAGGACATTGTAGCAGATGTTTTATGTATTTTATGTATGATGCTTAGGTCAGACCAAAGACAGTGAAGTTCTAAGTTGTCTAAGCTCAAAATTTCGAGTCTGGTGGCATAAGGTATTTTGGTGCGAGCAGAGGAGTGGAGGACTCTTCTCATGAAATATCTCTGGACTCATTCGATTGTATTAATGTCCGATATGCAGTGGGGGTTCCAGACAGATGAGCTGTATTCAAGAATTGGTCTGGCAAAAGTTTTGTATGCCCTAGTTTGCAGTTCAATATTACCGGAGAAGAAGCTATGCAAGATTAGATTAACAACTCTTAATGCTTTTTTAGCAATGCTGTTACAGTGAACTCTGGTACTTAGATCATTTGAGATGAGTACTCACCAAGGAGTGAAGGTCGTCTGTAAACTCATATTCGCCCAGCTTGTATTTTGTGTTCTGATTTTTTTTGCCAATGTGTAAGACATTACTTATCAGGGGATGAGAGCTTGTCAGAATCACAGTCAAATAAGATATGGTACTTATCAACCGTTGATTTAAGAGGTAGGGTAGGCTTACATACCCCCCCCCCCTTTTTTTTGTAGCTAGAGAGTCCTGTTTTTCGGTTGCTTATCTTTTTTCAGTTCGGAGGTTTTTCTACAACGAGTTTTGGTGCAGCTCTTTGTAGCTAGTTGCCTTTGTCACATTACTATTCTTACTTCCTCCAAATATGTTAGTGTTTTGGGTCCCTTGTATACTTAATAAAACTCATAAAACTTTAAAAACAGCGTAACAGCAAGATGGGAATAAGAGAAATGCGTTAAAAGATGAGTTAAGGGATAGGTTTGTTCAAGCAGTTTACTCTAATTCAATGCACAGCTTCCTTACTGTCTTTGCTGTTGGGTGGGAGTGAAAAACAAATTCCAGCAGTGCTCAAATTTAGCAAAAAAAAAAAAAAAGTTTCTGCACAATGCCAAATTGTTCTAACGCGAAGTTGTTGTATTTCTTGCAGATGTCTACTGTTCCACAGAGGCCAGCTGGTCGGGAAACCAAATATGTAAGTATCTTCATAATATGGTCTTCACATCTGTTTTTAATAGCAGGACAGACTCCACCTTTGAGGGGACTTCTGAGCAATGGTACAGAATTCTGCCTCCAATAATTGAATAATTAAAGTGAGTCTCCGAAAAACTGTGGTTTAGGCTGAGACTTTACAGAGCTGGGAATAGTGTTTCTTTCTCTTTCTCTTTTCATTCTGAATTAAGCACTGATCAAAGCCTCTTGCGATTTTGTTAGAGGCAAGAATGCTGCATTCAAATTGACATTGTGAGTTACGATTGCGATCATTTTTGCTTCTGAATGACAGAAATCCATTTCCGAGGAATGAAGAATGTGCACATTTTGGAAAGCACTGGGTTTTATTCATTTCTATCCCAGCAGCTGTCAGCATAAATTTCTGTGGAGGAGACATGCTCAAACAAAGTTGGATTTTCTTCCACTTCATTTTAATAAGGATAAATAAAAGGATAGTAAATGCATTTTCCCTTATATCAATAACAAACTGTTGAAAAACAAGGTGAAAAAAAATCAATATAAATAAATAAATGTTTTAATTTCTCTTTGATGTACTTTGTATTAGATATAGTAAAGAGTTTCATTAGGGCTACCACAAAAATCTAGAACCAGACCTGCAAAAATCCAGATATCAGCAAAAAACATGCAGAAAACTCAATTTGCTGTCCTAGAGGGGTTGTCTGAAATTTTGCACCACAGAAACAGTTATCCTAATTTTATATTAAAGCTTTGTAGTGAAAGTTTACTTAGTAAATGATTGATAGGGAGCAACTAAGAGAAACTTTAGGAAGTATGCCATTTGTGACAATGCCATCTCCTGCAGTCATCAGGAGTCAATGTGAATAGCAAGAAAGTTAAAAGAAAAGAATCTATAGTATTGATTATATGTCATCAAGTCAGTATCGATTCTTACCAACTTTTTCCAGGATGGCATAATGATTATAAACCTACTAAAATCCATCTTTATTTCATACTTCTGCACGATATGATTAATATTCATCTGTGTTCCTATGCTTATTTCCAAGAAATATACCGTAATTTAATCAATAGTCTAGCAAGATAGTTTTATTGGAGCAAAGTATAGAACTATTGATTCTTTTGTCATCTACATAAGCACTCGAGTGCTTATGGTAAGGTGAGTTAAAACAGAAAATCATATATGCTGTAGGAACAATCACTCTTTTGTGATTGTTCAAAATTATAACAGCACTTAACAAGGAGATTTATGACTGGTTCTCATAACCGCAACCATTGCAGCATCCCTGTGGTTTGATAATTGCAATTGTGTGTAATTACAATGGTCACAGTGTCTCACAGTTACATGATTGCCATTTGCAAACTTTGCTGCTGGCTTCTGACAAGTAAAGTCAATGGGGAAGATGGTAGGAAGTCGCAAATGATGATCATGAAACATTGTGCTTAATAACCATGCAGGATTCACTGAATGATGACAGCTGGAACTGCCACAACTGTCATTGTGAGTTGGCAGGATCATGCAATACCACATTTTATGACCAGGTCAATTAGAAATGGAGTTGCCAGTCCCAATTACTTTCAAGAGAGGTTAATGTTCCATATTTAGGTAACATCAGAAAATCCAGCATACATGCATTATTAATTTTATAACAAGATTTCTTATTCATATCTTTACACCAAAAGTGGTCTTCACATTCAAGCAGTGGGCACTCTCAAAATAGAGGGATTTCTGTTGTAAAAAGAACCTCATAGTCATCCTATTTATAATCTGGCTTCTTGATTTTTCTGATGGACAGTTCCAAGGAGAAACCATAATAGCTGATTTATTTTATTCTATATAGCTTAGTCAATAAAAGCGAAAACAGAGAAATAATGAACTTTGGTCCGCCCATGGTATGCCAGTCCTCTGTGATCAGTTACCAGCATGAAACTGATTATTCTGTCACTCGGCTGAAATATTATCACTATCATTGTGTAAGACATGTGCAATTATAGGTTATTTACTATAAATGTGGACGCTTCTATTGAATAGATTTCATTGGTAGTATGACTAAAATCGAAATACTGAGTACATACTGTGAATACCATATTTTTCAGTATATAAGATGCACCTTTTTACCCCCAAAAAGGGGTGAAAATCTGGGTGTGTCTTATACGCCGAATGTAGCCCCGCTCACCTGCCGGCCCCCACCTTTCGGCCATTTTCGGCCAGTTCCAGGCGGCAGGGATCTAGGTCGGGCACAGCCTGAGGAACAACCCTCCCTCTTCGGGACAGTGGGGGGGGGAGAATCTGCCCAGCAGCTTTAGGGAACAAGGCGGGTGCCACAATTTGCAGCTGGGCACCCCTCTGGCCGCGCTGACTTCACTCCCCAGCAATGTGAGGAGCTGCCAGACCCGCGATCCCCTTCCCGATTCCAAACATGGGGTATGTGCAGAGACAAAAAAAAGTGTACCGTGTTTCAGGCGGTGGATCTGGCCAGGAGGAAAGAGAAGAATCTGCTGAGAAGGAGGATGGGGGCGCGCAGCTCTGCAATGTGCAGAAAAACACTTTTAGGCGTCAGCGCTACAATCTCCTCACCGAATCCAAAGCACTTCCCAGTTCCCCGCTGCACATTGCAGGGGAACTGGCCGCCACCTGAAGCACGACTCTTGAGGTTTGCATTTTGGAATCCGGGCAGCGATGGCTGGAAAGGAGGAACGTTTCCCTTTAGGGGCTCCCATTCAGCTCGGCTTGGCTCCTGGGCGCAGAGAGGGTTAGGCAGCGGCGGTGGCAGGGGGAGTGAAGTCAGCGCAGCCAGAGGGGTGACCAGCTGCAAATCATGGCACCCGCCTTGTTCCCCAAAGCTGCTGGGCAGATCCCTCCCCACACTGTCCCGAAGAGGGAGGGTTGTTCCTCAGGCTGTGCTCTGTCCCTCCCCCCAAAGCATGCTAGGGATCTCTTTGGGGGAAAGCGAGTAGTCCCTGCACCTCTCGCTTGCAGGAGGAAGAGGAGGGCGGCGCCACCTTAAATGCTGGTAGGCAGAGGTAAAATACTTTTTTCTTTGTTTTCCTCCCCCAAAATTAAGGTGCGTCTTATACTCCGGTGCGTCTTATACACCAAAAAATACGGTACTTTAGATTGCTAGTGAGCATACTTTTTTTTAACACCTTTCCCTCTTTGCTTACATCTCAAGTGGTTCTACAATATGATGATGCTTTTTGTTTGTTTATATTAAAAAAGGAAAGAAAGAACAGCTGGCCCCTCAGTTCATTTTCTGCTTGAAAATCACCCATATATAGCTTTTTCTCAAAACAAAAGAAATGCTCAAACCAAGTCAAAAGAAACCCCCCCCCCGACAAAGATGGGCACAGAAGTGTCTACCATTGAATTTTCTCTTCTTAATTTAAGTAACTCTCCCTGATCTGATTCTTTTCACTGAGCTAATATTGTACACATTTTGTTCCAGGCCAACCTCTACTTAACGGCTCCTGCAGTGACTGAGACACATAAGGTACATTTCTAGTTCACTATTATCCTCTTCAGAATATTAATTAGGTTGAGTGACTGAGTGAATCACATTCTCAGACTCCATGTGATTTGAATAAAAATTCCACATAAATACAAAACGGTGGCAGACCCAACAAAGAATTATAACTATTTTGAAAAAGTCCTGGGGAAATATTTCTCTTAATATCAGAACTCTCTTAAGAAAGAATGTGCCAAGTCAAAAGGAAATAATCTGTCTCTGCTGGAAACTATATGCTATATGTGTAGAGCCATCCCTAATTAAGAAAAGATTGGACAACCACTTATCTGAAATGGTATAGGGTCTTTTGCTTGAGCAGGGGGTTGGACTAGAACCATGATGGCGAACCTATGGCACAGATGCCACAGGTGGCACGTGGAGCCATATTGGTGGGCACATGAGCTCAGCTCCAGCCAGCTGATTTTCGGGCCTTCTAGGCCCACCGGAAGTCAGGAAACACACTGTTTCCGGCCTCCTGAGGGCCTCTGGGGGCAGGGTGAGGAAGGCCATTTTCACCCTCCCAAGGCTCCTAGAAAGGCTCTGCAGCCTGGGGAGAGTGAAAAACGGGCCTACCGGGCTCACCATGGCATCAAGTGCCAAAAGCAGGGGAAGTGCGGGGGGGTCATGCTTGCAGGGGCAGGGCGCATAGAATTATGGATGTGGGCATGCATGCGACCCCCCCGCACTCCCCCTGCTTTTGGCATGTAATGACAAAAAGGTTAGCCATCACTGGACTAGAAGATCTCCAAGATCTCTTCCAATTCTGTTATTTTGTATTATTTTACCTGATATGTGAAGCTTTCCATTTTTAATGTGTGCTAAGAGCTGTACTGGTTTGGTTCCAACAGAGATCTGCACTCTTGTGACATTTTTGTGCTGAAATCCAATTCCAGTTCTTTTCCTCACACCCCAAAACTCACGCATACATGTTCTGCACTGTATATCTTAAATAACTGCTTTTGATGGAGGAAAAAAGGGATCCTGTGATACTTTTTCGCTAGCAATCTTTAACAGACCATCCCTAAGTGTGGCAGTGCAATAAACTTGGGCCATCACCGTGTGGTATCGTGGGGTAGACAACCTATGGCACTAAGGCCCTATTAGATATTTTTATCACTGAAGGTTCCAATCTGAGTCGGTCACCGGGACCAAAGACTTATACTTGCAAGACTTATTCTTTTGGCTCGTGCCAAAGTTATCATTAGATAACTTCTCTCTTTCCAGAATATGTGATGATGGGCTCCAGCCTGCGCCCAAATGCTTGGCAGAATAAACCTCTGGTCCCAGTGACCAACTCAGATTGGAATCCTGCAAAATTATCCTGGGACACATATACTTGCCTTCATGTGCTTTTTGTCACTCTTGATCACCCCTGCCCCCCAACCATGATAGTTATGATAGCTATGGTAACAAAAACTCTAGCAGAAGCCCTAACACGTGTATATTGCAAGCAAAACAAAACTCCCACAGGTGTGATACAGGGGTGGGTTCTACTTACCTTTACTACCGGTTCGCAATGGGGCAGCGCATGCACAGAAGCTTCCTGATGACATAGGGGTTGGTGGGCAGAGCCTCCCGCCAGTTTTACTACTGGTTCTTGCGAACTGGTCTGAACTGGAGGCAACCCACCACTGGTGTGATAAGGCCTCATTCTCATGGTAGAGTTTAAAAACTAAAGTATGGTTTTTGGAAACAAAACCCATTGTCCTTCACTTCCTATCCAATTGTATTCTCCTCTGTTGCACTGCTGGATGATATTTTGAGGTACAAATAAGGGCCATCTTGGGGGTAGAGAGAAACACTCAGGTTCCAGGCACTTCTGTTGATATAAACAGTCACAGAAGACAAACCTTTTAAAAAAGACTGAAATGGATGTTTTGTTAAAAGAAGAAAAGACAGAACAGTGTTTTTCTTTTTAAATTTGGGGATTAGAAAGAGTTAAAGACTGAGAGGGAAAGAGCAAGATGGCAAATATTTGATAGAAAGAAGGACAGAGACTATTTTCTTTTTTTCCCAACTTCTTTTGTTTCCTACCTTTATTTTTTATTTTGCATGCTTTTATTGTATTATAAAATTCTAATTAGAGAGATAGAGACAAGCTCTCATGTTTTAAGGATTGAATTCGTTATCTTTCCCATAAATTAATAGTTCTGACCTAGCGTCTTTTGAATGCTCAAGCCATCAGTGGTAGCCCCTGCATGATACATGGAAGGACCATTATAGCGATTACATATTTCATTTTACTTTATTTATTCATTAGATGTATATCCCGCCTTTCCTCCAGGAGCTGAAGGAGGCATACCTCCAACAACCCTGTGAGGTAGGTCTGGCTGAGGGATAGAGATGAGCTAAAAGTAAGTCATGCATTAGGTTTTCATGGTTGAGGGTGGACTTGAACTTGGATCTCCCCAGTTAAAGCCCAATCAGTTAACCATTATGCTACACTGAAGCTTCTCAGGTCTAAGTTGCTTTGTTTTCAGTGCCAGCATAGAAGGTGGCATGTGCCAGCATGTGGTTTACCATATAGGAAAAATGAACATGCCAGTTTGAGGACTTCCATGACCTGAACCACTGATGAAGAATGTGAAAGGCGGAAGCATTCTGGCTAGTATTTTTTGCTTTTTGGCACATGATCTCAAAAATCTAGATTAGAACTTCTTGCCTAGGAGACCAAACTCTCTGTACTATATATCATCTCTGTTAAAGCTGGCACAGATATTTTTTTTCTGTACCATGCATTGGAAACATTCTTCTATGCTTTATCATTAGTTCAAACATTATATGTTTGTCATTCTGGTATATGACTTATTTTATATTTCTGTTCTTTTTTCATTACTAGACAAAGCCTGGGGTAATCCGACCAACTACTGTAAAAGCAAAAATAATAATGAAAGAAGAAGAAGAACCTGTCCAGCCAAACCCATTCAGAAAATATTTGGAAGAAAGAAATGATCTTCAGACCGAACAGGTAAAGTTTTCCCCTTCCTTTCCTGATTCTGCATCCTTTATCGGGATTTCCTTTCTGCATGGACCTTCGCAGAGGAGTTGGTCCAGGGCTTCTCTTGGTGGGCATTTAATAGAGGTGCGAATAACATAATTGCACAGTGGCTATTTTCCTTCATGTTTGTTCTTCCTGGATTCTTTGCAGAGTTCACTTGTTTTGCACTGCCCTTGCCTAGTTCTCACAGCAACACTATCAGTGCATGATGTAATGAAGGTTTTTGTCTACCAGCTGGCTTGCCTTAGAGCCCTGTCCTGATTTAGGCTGTGAGGGAGCGTTTGTCCCAAGGCCATCCCAGGCAGCTTCTGGGCTTTAGGGAGGACTAGCACATGACTGTCCCCGTTCCTACTTCAGCACCTGGCTCTCCGAATAACCTATGAGCAAGATGTTAGAAAAAAGAAGTTAAAAACACATGGCACAAGGTAGTCCTCTTTCTGTTGTGTGGCTGCCCATTTCCTATTCCCCAGCATCCTCTAGTAAGGGTGAGGCCTATGTGAGCAGAAAACAAATGGTTTCCTTCCTTCTCTGACCCATCCAGAGGTCCTCTGACTACTTGGACTGTCTTTCTGAAAGAGGCTCAGCCTCCAGATTCTGTGATAATTCTTTCTCACAACAGCCAAACTTCACAGGGTTATTATCTGAATAAGATGCAAAGATATTCACATAGGGTTAGGGTTAGAGAAAAAAAGAGGAAAAGATGTAAGTGCAATAAGTAAACTTAAAAAATAAACTTAAAAAATAAATCCAGCAGTGGAGGACTGTTCTTTTCAAAAGATATCAATCCACACCTGTATACTAAAATGCCCTTGGATGCTAGCGCAGGACTTAAAAAGATAACACTAACCATAACAATACTTGGAGTCAAACATATACTTTTACAGTTTGCTCTAGTCAAAATAACATAAAATACAATGGGACTTTAACCACAATTACCATTATGATTTAAGCTTTCATTCACTTCTCTATCGTATACACAAAGTGTGCTGGAAAGCTGATGAAATAAGTAGATACTAACTGTACTCACTAAAACTGTTTAGAATTGCTATTTGAGATAGGCTTAATCTCACAGGGCCAGCTTGGTGCCACTGAATTAGGGCATTTAAAAACTCTGGTTTGTGCTGCTCTCAGGACGAACGAAAAAGATGCCAAGAAATTAAACCTTTGTCTGTCAGAGATTTGTTGAACCCTTTTTTGTCAAAGGAGAACTTCTCTGCCCCTAACTTTCAACTACTGTAGAGATTAGAAGCTTGTTTCTGTCTCCCTCTCACAAGCAGTACTAGGGGACAATTGACAGCTCTCCTAAAAACATGAAATGGCACATTTTTTGTTTCTCTATCTGAGCTGTTCATTCCAGCCTCTATGTGTGGAATAAGGTGGGCCTATTGTAAACTGGTATTTAAGGTTATCAGTTGTAAACGACATTGAAAAGAAGTTGAGTCATGGAAATTAGATTTCTTTTCATTTTGGGTTCAAATATTTCACTGTTTATCCCGAAGAAGCTACTTGGATAAGCAGAGAAACATTTCAAACAAGCAAACAAAAAGTACAGTTGCCATGACTCAACTTCTAAACAATTCTACCTGGATGACTGAGAATCTTCTTAAACAGTTCAGCTGAAAGTGTAAATCGTCCAAGTAAATAAGAGAGGAGTCTCAAGACAGAGTCAGTTTTTTCTGAGACAATATTATAGTCAGACAGATTTGTATTTGTATACTGACTTAAATAGTTTACAAGTTAAAACATTTCCTAAAAATGCTGCAAGCTAATCCAAGATAACAGTGCAATTGTAACAATAATGTGTAACAAAAACTCCGTAGATTTCCATATAAATCAGGGATGTCAAACTCATGTCGTCACGGTGACATCACATGACTTTTCCCCCTTCGCTAAACTAGGCGTGGGCGTGGCCAGCATTTTGTCACACATTATTGTTACAATTTCACTGTTATCTTGGATTAGTTTGCAGCATTTTTAGGAAAGATTGCTTTTTTTCAGCCTCATTGAAATAGCCGGGTTTTATCTTAATTATACAGTTGAGTAACTTACTTTTTTCCTCTTGCTTGTTCAAATGCCTGAGCTAACCAGCCAAAATTGCACTGTGTACTTTTCTACCACTAGGGAGCGAGATTTGCTGAGCAAAATGACCATTATGGTCTATCTAATTCAGACAAGCATTTTTCGTTGCTTTTCATATCTTAATTTTGAAGATTACTGTTTGAAGGTTCTGCAAGAAACTCTGTTAATACAAACTAGCTGTGTAAAATTACAATCAGTTTTTAAAATCAGCTTCATTTCAAGTTAAGTTTAAAGCAGCTTTTCCATAGAACTGGCTTGGATTAGCTTCCATCAGTTAAGAGACTTGGGCAAGCCATCTTCGTGAAAAGTATAATATCAACAATGGTGGGTTGCCTCCGGTTTGCACCGGTTCTATAGAACCGGTAGTAAAACTGCGGGAGGCTCCTCCCACCAACTCTGACATCATCAAAACGATTCTGTGCATGCGTGGCCCCGCTGCGAACCAGTAGTAAAGGTAAGTAGAACCCACCCCTGAATATCAAGCTTTGAATATTTCCATTCTGAAATACTGAATTCATCTGCAGGAGATTATCTGTCCCCAGTCAAAAAACAGTCAGCATGAAATGTCAATAATAGATAGGCAGTTAACAACACTTTTTATTGCCTTCACGTCTAACTTCTCCATTTAATTTTTGCAAAATGTTTTATCTCATGTTGCTATTTCAGAAGAACATCCAAGTGCATAATAAACTTAAAATCAGTTTCTGAAAACACCGGCGTTTTGAAATGCAAAAATATTATAATTGAGTATGAGTTTTTCATCTTTAATCTTTCTTAGGAGGAATCATTTTTAATCCTTTTGTGTAAATATAGCATTATACTATTTTTAAGAAAATTGTGTTAAATTATTTTAAAATAATAACATTAATATGTAGAGTTGAAATGTTCCCCTGCTTCCCAATCAAATCCAATTACATAAGGATGAAACAGTTTGTCTTAAATGTGCAAGGCAAATTAATCTTTGTTTAATTTTTTTAAAAAATCATGATTTTTTTTTTTTAAAGAAGCAAACAAACAGGCAAAAGGAGAAAAGAAATAAAATAAAGATTGGCACAGAAATACAGTGTCTTTCACTGGACAAAAGAATGACCAAAAGACTAGTGTTGAATGTGTATTTGATTAGAAATTAACCATAAAAAATTAAATTCCATTTGACAATCATATTGTTTAGCAATATGTTAGAGTTAATCTCTGAGTTAAATGCCCAAATCTCCACTATTTGTTGTTTAAGAATATAAAGAAAAGAGAAAGAAAAGAAAACATTATTAAAAACAGTGCAAATATCTATTAGTTTCTAACTGCTCCTTTATAAGTGCACCTGCAGTTTATGCCAATAAGCAAATTAATTATTGAAGAGGAGAATCCTTAAACTAGGAAAATAAGAAACTCAAGAAGATTAAAATTCCTCCAATTTTTGTTGCTATGTTTTTTCCCCCTATTAGCCAGTGATTACATTGTCAAATGATCCTATTCTGCTTTGGATTTAAGATGACTCTGATGCTATTTTTTTCTCAAAGGCGGGATTATTATTTCAAAAGATAAGAGATAATCTCTTGTCCAATTAAAAAACCCAGAAGTAAATATTGTCTCCTGTTTAATACCCCAATTAATCTGTTCTGCAAGAGTAGCATCATCAGGGATAGATGCAATAATAAATAATAAAATGTGAACGTGAAGCAAAATAAAAACCCAGAAAAAGGTAAGATTAGTTTATCTTCTTGTACGTATGCTTGGTTTTCCAAAGTATTTGTAGATTTGTAGATGTAGGGGTGACATGATAGCAGTCTTCCAATATTTGAGGAGCTGCAACAAAGAAGAAGGGGTCAACCTATTCTCCAAAGCACCTGAAGACAAGACAAGAAGCAATGGATGGAAACTTATCAAGCAGAGATCCAACCTATAACTGAGGAGAAATTTCCTGACAGTGAGAACAATTAATTAACGGAACAGCTTGCCTCTAGAAGTTATAGGTGCTCCATCACTGGAGGTTTTCAAGAAGAGACAGGACAGTCATTTGTCCGGAATGGTATAGGCCAGTGATGGCTAATCTTTTTGCCATCGTGTGCCAGGAGAGGGGGGGGGGGGGGGGGGGTCGCACGTGCACATGCCCATGTGCATGCGCACACAACCCCACCCACCCCCGCTCCTGGCACATGATGGCCTGGTAGACCCGTTTTTCTTTCTTACCTGGCTCCAGATCCTCTCTATGCACCTGGGAAGGGCGAAAACAGCCTTTCCCACTCCCTTGGATAAGGTGACCAGACGTCCCGCTTTTGGCGGGACAGTCCCGCTTTTTAGCAATTTGTCCTGCGTCCCGCGGCGTTTCAAAAAAGTCCCGATTTTTCATTCTGCCTCCTCAGTCCCGCTGCCTCTTGAGCCCCAGCTGATGGCTAGAAGAAAAAAAAACTGTTTAAACTCTTGCCCGGGGCTTCAAAGGGCCGCCCTACAGGCAATCAGTGTAAAGAGTTCCTGAAGCAGTTTTTTTTTCCCCTAGCTAAGCTGCAGAAACGAAACTGAAACCAGGATCTTTGGTGGAACGTGACAAAATGAGGCAGAGAGAGATTTATTTTTATTTTTATTTTTCCTCCCCAAAAAAGGTAGGTGAAAAACTGCAAACAATGGGAAATTTAGGAGGAGAGTTCAAGATTTTAAAACACAAAAGAAAAAAAAGCTGTATTTAACTAGGGAATTGTAATAATTGAATTGAGATACTATTAATTGTATATTGTGTTGAAAGCAGAAATGTTTAAGTTGTGGTTCAGAGGAATATATGGGGAAATTATTTGGTTTATTATTATTGGTAAATATAATTAATTGATTTGTAAGAAATTGGATTGCATGGAAATAATTGGAATATTCATGTTCATATTGATTAATATACAAAAAATATAGTTTTATAACTAATTGATTTATATTAAAATGTTGAATTTGTATTAAACAACTGTATTACATAATTACATAATTAAACAATGTGAGGATGGATATAAAAATAGATGACAATGTATAATATAGAATAGAAGGGAAAAATTGAATTTGATTAAGATTAGAGATGAGGATGAAGGGTAATATTGGTTTTTTAAAAAAAATAGATGAGGAATAAATATGGCAAAAAGGAAATATAGAAATTGTAAATTTAATTGAAGTGACTAAACACTGTTTAAATTTGTGAACCGGCCAAGTACTCTGTTCAAAGAAAATAAATTGTATGTTTGTATGTGTGTTTCTAATTACTGCTATTTATTCATATTTGTTCTCTTTTATTCTTTAAAGTTTAACCATTCATTCTTTATCTTAATAT